CATACAATGGCATAGATGATCCACAGGAATTAACCAGGCTTTAATGACCTGCATGAATTAACTAATCTCACAAGTAACCACTTGTTAAAATTCCAGCATGCACTTGGTCAAGATGGCTAAAGAGAGCAGCCCTTTCCTATTAACTCCAGCCTGAGAGTCACTTTTTTAGAACTGCTACAAACCACCTGTCTGGTGCAGAACATTCATGCACATAAAACTTATACAGTTCTGGTTTGAAAAACAATCTTTTGCAGGATTTAAGAGTAGGCAGTGATTAACACAAAAAAAATATGATTTCTGACATGAGTGGACCATCAAAAATGTTTTTATTTCCTCTCTTTTTATTTCCCCCAATTCTCTGTCCCCTCCTATCCTCCTCCTTCTTTCTTTTCACACTGCTGGGATTACAGGCATTCACCATTGTGCCCGGCTACAACTAATATATATTTAAACGCCTAAGCAGTAAGGAGATTCCTTGGAAAACTGGGAAGGGAATCACCATTTAACCCAACTATCCCTCTCCTCAATCTATACCCAAAGGACTTAAAAACAGCATACTACGGGGACACAGCCACATCAATGTTTATAGCAGCACAATTCACAATAGCTAAACTGTGGAACCAACCTAGATGCCCTTCAGCAGATGAATGGATAAAAAAAATTTAGCATGTATATACAATGGAATGTGACTCAGCAATAAAAGAGAATAAAATCATGGCATTTGCAGGTGAATGGAAGGCATTGGAGAAGATAGTGCTAAGTGAAATAAGCCAATCCCCAAAAAACAAATGCCGAATGTTTTCTCTGATATAAGGAGTGTGATTCAAAGTAGGGTAGGGAGAGGGAGCATGGGAGGAACAGATAAACTCTAGACAGTGCACAAGGGTGATAGGGTAAAGGAGGAGGCAAGGTGTTAGAAATGATGGTGGAATGTGATGAATATCATTATCCAAAGTACATGTTTGAAGGCACAAATTGGTGTGAATATATTTATATGCAACCAGAGATGTGAAAAATGTGCTGTATATGTGTAATATGAATTGTAATGCATTCCACTGTCATATAAAAAAACTATAACACACACACACACACACACACACACACACACACACACACATATATATATATATATAATAAATAAATAAAAGCCTATTGTATAGCAAGAGTTGGAGGAGCATGCCTGTATTTCTAGCTAATTGGGAGGCTAAGGCAGGAGGATCTCAAGTTTGAGGCCAGCCTGGGCAACTCAGTGAGACCCTGTCTCAAAATAAAAATGTAAAAGTGCTGGCGGTATAGCTCAGTGGCAGAGCACCCCTGGGTTCAATCCCTGGTACTATAAAAAAACAATAACAATAACAACCTGTTTCATGATTTTAATTTTTATTGATATAAAATATATAGTGAAATGTACAGATCACTATTTAAGTGAATTCATTTAGAATTTTGACTGATTTCTTTCCTGTGTAACTATCTAGCCAACCACAAAACACTTCTAACATATAGGAAGTCCCCTCTTCCTAGAAATTCTTATCCTTTTAGGAGACCAGGTCTGATCTTATAGGCATGGGTTAATTTTGCCTATTCTTGAATTTCTTACCAATGGAATTTCACCCCAGTGATACTCTCACTATGCAGCTCTTAAAAACTGTCTTGTTAACACTGTGGTCAAATGTACCTGAAGAATCAGCTTTATTCTGGTAAAGACCTAGCCTGAGAACCTCCCAGATGGAAGACACTGGCAGGATTAAATTGATAAAACAAGCAAATGGTTGATTTGCAGCCAGAAGGGGGCAGAGGCATGTGTATGACCAGCCAATTGTCCAAGAAGCCAACCCGGCTGAGCCTTCAGCAAAAGCATAGTGCTGGCACATGGCAGGATAAACACTGTTTCTCTGCCTGAGGCCTGGTTGGCAGGGCCTTCAGAAAACCTGGAGCCTATCAGGGCCAGTTGGCCCTGCCCTTGCTGAAATTGGGAGTAGTTCTCCTGACCCAGGACATCTGCTCAGGGAGGAAAGGGTCCACACAGTCCCCTGAAAGCCTCTGCAGAGTGCTGAGAAGAAATATGGTCCTGCTGTAGTAGCCCCATGACAATCCCTTCTCTGCCTTGCAGAGCACAGGGTCACTTTCCCCCTCTGCACATTTAAGAGCACACAGAGACTATCCCACTGTGAGACACAAATTCTACATTCATAAAGCCCAGCACCTGCCTTCCCCTGTCCTTCCTGGTTTTGCTCCTCTATCAGCCCAGAGGTCTCTGGGAAATGGGAAGGAGTGGGGAAGAAAAGGCAACCTACGTGAGGTCTCTGGAGTTCATTCAAGGGATCTGAGAACTGGGAGTACACAGGGAAAGGGGGTCTCTCAGGTATGGGAACCTGTCCGTCGTGATGTATAAACACCCACAGAGTCTGGCTCCCACAAATATCAGATGAATTTATTTAATAATCTGTTCACAGCTCTAGCCTCCCTTTTGCAGTCTGGGAAAACCAGAGAAAGGAGACTGTTGGGGCCTGAAATAGCCAGGAGGAGAGCTTGGGCCTTGGTCTTCCTGATCAGCTACCTCCTTCCCCCTCAGGATGGTGATGCTTCTGTCATTAGGGACATTCAGGGACACTGTGTCTCTCAGTAAGCTCCATGGTTTCAGGAGGACACTGGTCTCTGCAACCAGCTCCAGTCGCACTTGGCATGTTTTGGGCCCTGTGACAGCCTTGAGGGCGTGAACCAAGGTTGGGGCCATGGGGGTAGTAGAGGTCTGTGCTGAAGAGATTTCTTATGCATGGTGAGCTTTTCTGGAAAACAAAAGGAAGTGCTTCAAAGTCATGAGACTTCTCTTCCTGTCTCTCCAATCCCACCATCCCCCACACCCTGCCCAGCCCCCTCCATGTCCCTCTTTTGGCCCCTTCTTCCCCCCTTCAGTGTTCTCTCAGTATCTCCTGGCTTTTCTTAACCCCCATCTTCTAGTTCTAAGCTGCAGTTTTTATACAACTGTCTCTTGATTTCTCATTCCCCATCATCCCTACAATGACCTTGCTTTCTCTGCCCACTTCCTTCCCTCACTCTCTTGCACTTCCTCCTTAGAAAAAGGGGGTTCCCACACTTCAGACACTCACAAGAGAGATGGCGACTCCAATGGAGAGAATCACAGCCATTGCAACAGAAGCCAGTGCGATTAGGGCAACTTCCCAGGGACTCAAGTTTCTGACCATGCTTCCCTCAGTCCCTGGAGAGGCAGTGCTCACAGTGGTGACATTGGAGGTTGTTACCACTGTGTTAGTCCCACTGGAGCTGGATGATGATGAGGATGATGTACTCATCCCAGGTATAGTTGATCCAGAGGAGGTGGCTGTGGGTGACCCAGAGGAGGTGGCTGTGGGTGACCCAGAGGAGGTGGCTGTGGGTGACCCAGAGGAGATGGTTGTGGTTGGTGCAGAGGAGGTGGCTGTGGGTGACCCAGAGGAGGTGGTTGTGGTTGGTGCAGAGTAGGTGGCTGTGGATGACCTGGGGAGGGTGTTTGTGGTGCTTCCTGTTGTGTCACCATTGGTGGCTACAGCTGATTAAGAAAGAATGCTGGTTAGTTCCATTGGAAATTTAGTTTGGTCCTACAACTACTAGTATTACTCCTCATAACAATAGTAGTAATAGCTGCCTTTTATTTAATGCCATCCCCATGTGAATTAGTGCCTCAAATCTTCACAATACCTCCAGGAGATAGGAATTATTTTTACCACACTTTACAGATGGGGAAATTGAGGCTTATAGAAAGGAAGCAACTGGTTTCAGGAAGACTTTAGTAGGTAGTGATACATGGATTTATATCAAGGCAATCTGACCCCTGAGCCATCCCTTAATCCATATGTGATTTCATATCCCAGGTGTGGGGAGGCAGTGGCCTAGGGTCAGGAGACTGTGTTATTCCTTCTCCACCTATCCATGATACCCTCCAGATACAGAACATAAGAGAGAAAGTTGAAGGGGCCACATGTGCCAATTAAGCTACTCTCCAAATGGCATTGTTTTCTTCTAGGGAGGAAAATCAATTTTTGCGGGAAATAGTAATGCACATTTTTTTATTATTCAATAATTCTCATACACAATAAAGTTTGGGAGCCAGCAGTTTAATGGATCCCAGATTATCTTAGCATATGGTCTAGCAAAATCCAACCAGGTATAACTTGAAGTAATAAGATCTGGGATTCAAGGAAGGGGTTCAGCATCCTTGATTGGTCAGTCAGAGTTAGGATGAGACCTGGACTCCCTCTCTATCTCATGTACACTATTTTATACCCTCTTCTGATTTCTCCACCTGAGTAATAATAGAGAGCTTGTCTTCCCAGATATCTATACCCCCTCACATCACCTATGACCCTGTCTTCTAAAATATTGGTGTTTAGTCTCTCACCCTCTGCATGTGTTCCTTCTTTGGTATTGTCTGGGATAACATAAGGAATGCAAATTTAGAATTCCAAAACCTTGTGTTTATTGCTTCCGATTAGGTTTAGGGGAAAGGTAAGGGTCAAGAGAAAAACGAAGTGAGAAGTTGAGATGAAAAGCTGCCCCATTGAGGAGAACATTTTTTGTTCTGCTCTTCAGAAGCATAAAACAAATAAGTTAAAGCCCTAATTATACAGATTCTAGAAGGAATTAAGAAGGAACAACATGGCTTATACAATGTGTAACTGAGGCCAGAGATGCTGGAACAGGGTTCCTGTCTACTATGGGTGGTCAGGCACTAACTTTAAGATCCCTTCCAACTCTAATGCATTTATATTTGGGATTGATTTATTATAAAGAGAATTGGTTAGATTTCTGGGCAGAATTGTTACTGGGAACAGAACAGAAGATAGATGCTGTGTTGAACGGGAGAAAGCAAAGCAAAAATAACAATTCTGACTTCTTCTCAAAGGAGAGCTAAAAGGATAGATGTGCATCCCAAAAGTTGGTAACGTTTCCCCCAAACACTACTTATACCCCAACATTACCTTCTTTTCAACAAAATCACTCACCATTGACTAAAAGTAGAAGAAGGTGAAACAACCAGCAGGGAAGGAAAAATGCTTTTCTCTTCATCTTGAGACAGTATAACTACGTAGGGCTGGAAGGGAGGGTGCTGAGTCCAGAAGTGATCAAGGCCTAGAAGGGAAAGAAGACAAATGAGGGTCTTGAGAGCAGAGTCTCAAGGTGGAGATCTAAGGGCTGGGGTGCCCTTCAGATCTCCACAGAATGGGTCCTCAACCACAAGAGAAGCACCAGGTCGGGGGACCTGGGGCCACAGGATGGGAAGGCTGGATGTTTGCTTCCTTAGGCTCCCTCCACAGAGTGTCACCTCTCTCTCCTCTTTCAAAGAAGGCCTTTATAGCATCATCTGGGCTGGGCAAGGGCTGGCCATGGAGCCTGTTATTCCTGTAGCTGTGAGCAGTGATAGGACACCTGAGTTCAGAGAAGAAGGGACACAGGACAGGAAGTACATCAAGATGGAGAAAGGCTCAGTCCCAGTAGATGAGTCCTTGGGAGGAGCAGGAAGTTGGACAGTTCAAGGGGATCAAGGCTGTCAAATGATGGGGACCCACCCTCTGAGGCAGAGAGGGAGGTAAAAACACCTTGTTTCCTGCACAAGAATTCCAAGTGTTTGGGATAGCTGGGGAAGCAGGGTGTGAGAAGGAGGTCTCAATGAATGGGACTTAGGAAGCAGGACACCTAGAGTGAGGTTCCATGTGAGTGGGGACTAGGAACAGTGCCTCTGGATAGTGCTGAGTATGCAGTAGGCACCAAAAGTGCTTCTTACATGAGGAGGGGACTAGAGACCCAGGGGTCAGGAAATAGACTCTGGGGTCTCTTAGGCATAGGAACTGGTGACTGTGGCTATTGATGGGACAGGACCAGTAGTGAAGTGGTACTGGTCATACCCATTTGAAAGGGCCTACTTTTACATTTTCAGGAATTTTCATAAAATAGCCATTACTAAAAATTAAAATGAGATTACTTAAAAAAACTAAATGATATTTTAAAAAGCAATGTAAAAATGCCTCCAACTTATCACCTCTTTTTAGTTTTACCACATTCTGTACACCCACGAGGGCATGCACATCAATTGCAGCTGTCTGGTGGGGATGTATATTAAGCTGTGTTGCCATCTCTTCCCAACTCCTCATTTCGTGGTCCACACTAGCAGCATGAAGTTAGCCATGACAGGAGCTTTTGCACAACAGAGCAGACATTAAACCTTCCCCAAGACACCCAGGACAGGACATAACAAGCATAATGATGACTCCAGAAGAATGTCCTTTCTGTCATCCCTCCTTGGTAAAGGTGCTCTTCTTTCATTTTTATTTTTAATTAATTAGTTAATTAATTTTATTTTGAGATACTGAGGATTGAACCCAGGGTCTCACACATGCTAGTTAGCCATGGGCTCTGCCACTCAGCTACATCCCCAGACTTTCTTTCATTTTTAAAAGAATTCATAGAACCGTTTCCATGGGTGAAGCCTCAGTTGGTTCCTCTCATCAGTGTTAGAGATGCCAGACACGCTGAACCATCAAGGAGGGTACTTGATCTTGAGGCAGCCCTTGGGGCACTGATAATCTCTCACCTGAACTGGTTGACTCTGGATGAGGGCAACAGAAATAGCATGGCTGAACAAAGATGGTGTTGAGCAAGGTGGTACCTGCCTGTAATCCAGTGAATCGGGAGACTGAGGCAGAAGGGTTGTAAGTTTGAGGCCAATCTCAGTAACTTAGTGAGGCCTGAAGCAACTAAGCAAGACCATATTATATAAAAAAAATAAAAGGGGCTAGTTATGTAGCTCAGTGATAGAGCACCCTTAGGTTCAATCCTCAGTACTGAAAAAAAAAAAAAAAAGACTCATGGGAGTTTGAATTCTATAATGTGTAAGATCAAAACAAGCAGTTTCCATCTTCTCCAGAATAGCTAGGTCTCTTGGCAAAGGAAACATTTAAGATAATTCAGATGTTTGGTGAATGAATACTCAGAGGATATGAGGCCTGAAGTTATTCATCACACAAACATTTTGAGTGCTTACTATGCACTGGTCGTTGTACTCCAGTGAACGAGACACAGAAATCTGTGTTCTTTTGGAGCTGGCATTTTAAGATATGAAAAAACAATGAACAAACAAGTTCTAGAAGAGGGAAGTAAATGGGCCAAGGTAGAAAATAAGATATTGGGTGGAGAGGGAGCAGGAGTCCAGATTCTGCAATGCCCTGGGAAAGAGCTTGGGAGTCAATCAGCCATGTGTTTCTGATGGGAAGTTCTATGTGGAGAATGGATGAGGGTTGTGGCCAATAATCAGTTGGTTCAGGGACCTCAGCCCCTGCTCTAATAGTAAAAATCCAAATAACATTTCTAAGTAAAATAACATGCATTTTTCTCTCTAGAATCACCAGGAATTAAAGAACCTGTTTCTGCTTGCTCATGTCTTAGCTATTTACTTAGTGGGGATTATAGTCTGCACTTAATAGGATTGTTGTGGAGCCTGAGTAATGGTTTATATAAAAGCTTACAAGGCAAGCATGGTGACACACTGGGTCATCCCAGCAGCTCAAGGGCTGAGGCAGGAGAATCGTAAGTTGAAAGCCAGACTCAATAATTTAGTGAGGACCTAAGTAACTCAGTGAGACCCTTTCTTTAAATAAAATACAAAAAGGGGCTGGAGATGTGGTTCAGTGGTTAAGTGCTCCTGGGTTCAATCTTCAGTATCAAAACAAACAAACCCCCCAAAAAGATACAAAACAAACCGTCCAGCACAATGGTTGGCAGACAGGAATCATTTGGAATGATGAACAATAACAATATAGCCTCAAGAGTTTTAAAAAAAAAAAAGGATTTTATCTGAATACCATATATATCTTTTTTTTTCTTGTGCTAGGGACACTTAACCATTGAGCCATATCCCCAGTCCTTTTTCATACTTTAGTTTGGGACAGGGTCTTGTTAAGTTGCTGAGGCTGGTTTTGAACTTGTGATCCTTCTGCCTCAGCCTCCTGAGCCGTTGGGATTACACCACGCCCAGCTGGATACCATATATATCTTAATATACTTTTATTAGTGTTTAGTAAGTTTCTCCTCAGTCACTGGCATATCTGAGAGCATCCTCCAGAATTCATGTATTGGAAACTTAATCCCCAATGCAACAGTGTTGGGAGACGGGTCTAAAGAGAGGTATTTGGGTCCTGAGGGCTCTGCCATCATGAATGGATGTGTGCTATTACAAAAAGGGCTTGTAGTGGAAGAAATGATTTACAGTAGAGGGGGTAGAGAGAGAAAAGGGGAGGGGAGGAGAGGGGAGGGGAGGGGGGATAGTAGAGAATAGGATAGACAGCAGAATACATCAGTCACTAGAATGGCAATATGTAAATCAATGGAAGGGTAACTGATGTGATTCAGCAATCTGTATACGGGGTAAAATTGGGAGTTCATAACCCACTTGAATCAAACTGTGAAATATGATATATTAAGAACTATGTAATGTTTTGAACGACCAACAATTAAAAAAAAAAGGGGGGCTTGTAGGAGTGGGGTTTTCTTCTGGAGGTAAGGACATAACGTTTGTTCCTTTCTTTGAAGGAAGCAGTAAGAAGGCCATCACCAGAAAACTGGTGCTAGTGCCTCCAGAATATAAAAAATAAATTTCTGTTCTCATCAATTACCTCATCTGTGGTGTTCTGTTGTAAGAGCAGAAAATGTACTAAGATAGTCACGCACAGCAGGAGACGTGGAGGAAGGAAGAAGACTTTCAAAGAGTTAAACCCTGAAGGGCACCTGAATGACTAGGGTCAGGGAGAAGGGAATGACACTGCCCTGAGTGCAGTCACTGGTCCACCCCAGCCCCCATGAAGGGCTCACCACCTCCTTGATCCTGATCTAGGGAGACAGTCCTGGGAATGTATTTATTTGAGATCAATTCCAGGCCCAGTGAAGATTTGGTCTTTCAAAACTCTGCTTGACCCAGTTTTAGTGATCAAACTCTTGAGAGGCTTTCCTTGGTTCTTGGTTCTTGGTCCTTGACCTTAGCCATGACCTCTGGGTATTGCCTGGGAATATTTTGGTGTCCCATCTTGACTCACTCCCCTCATTGCTCTTTGTCTTCTCCATGATATTCTCCTCCCCCATGATTCCCTGTAGAGAATGTCTTTCATTATCTCATGGTTATGGTTTGGCTTCTTCTCTGATCTCTGAGGCCTTCCTTATGGTCATCACTGAAATGGCCTCTCCCATGGCTTCCTCAATGGTACCCATGTCCATTCATTCTTTCATCATGGCCTTCTCAATGGGCACTTTGATGACTCATTCCATTTTTTCATTTATCACAGTGGCTTAATCCATGGCCCACTGTATTGTCCATGCCCATTTGACTAGGGCAGTGGAATAGGTTGCTGTGAAACCAATGAAGACACACAAAGATGGGGTTGAGACGTAATGTGTATTGGTAAAACCTTATGGGAAAAGTCTAGACCCAAAGGACTAAGTAGGACATTTCACCAGAGTGTCCAGTGGCAAAGGCCAGGCAGGATCACCTCTGTCCCTCTTGGTACTTCACCAAGTAAAACCTCCTTTGCCTCTTGACTACACCATAAAAGACCCCTCCTCTCCTTCACTGCACTTTGTCCAGTGGTGGCCAGCTTGGCCAAGGACACAAATCCTTTCTGTGGTGTCTTCAGCTCCACACAGTCACTGTACAGAGAGGGATTGTATACGTTAGGCTACAGAAGCAGTGACAACACAGCATTAGTTTGCTTTGTTCCTCATATGACCAGAATCCCAAGGAGCAGCTCTCCTGGCATGCATACAAGAAGTCAGCTTTCTGCAGAACACATGGACTTGCCCTAGTTTCTGGCCCACAGGAGAAAAAGTTGGTGTCCTTCAGGATGCACTGTCTATACACCCTGGTACAGGCCTGCTCTCTGTTCCTTGGATTTGACCAGCTTCCTGGAAACTTATGCTGAGATGTGGTGTCTTACTCTCCTCCTTTTCTTCAAGGATGATGCACCTGTATTATAGCTTCCTTCACAGCCAAGGCAAAGGTCCCCTTCATGGTCCTGTTCACCATTGATGCTCCAAGACAATGGACCCAGATCTGTGTCCTGGGTATACTAAGACCCACTGTCTTTCAGGGGCAAAACACTATCCCTCTAAATAACAAAAATGCTGAAGTTTTTAGAGATTAGTTCTTTTCCCCCATTTCACAACTTCCTATTTGATTAAAGCCATAAATTTTTCACTTTAAAATTTGTTTTTTTTTCAAAAGCTTTTTTGTTATCTCCTTTCTTTCTCTGTGTTTCTCTGTGTCTT